CGCGCGCTTCCAGGCCAGGATCATCGTTCTCCGGACCATCTATTATCTCGAAGCCATCGTCGTTATCCTCGGGGAGCGACCGCTTGGTCGCTTGTACGCTGGTATCGATTTTGATGGTGGGATGAGCCATCTTGGCCGCAGCGATCCTCTGGAAGGCCCGAACCTTGCCCAGGACGCCGCGCGCCTTCTTGGAGACCCGCTTCTTAGTCGCTGCGAGTTTTCGGGGACCGCTGCGTAGACTGAAGGTATCGGGCGAGGGCGAGCGGGAGGTTGGGGCAGTGATGACTTCCCCCTCGATGCCGTCGGGCGGATCCTCGTGCGCGCCGTTGGGGGGATGCGGCAGGGATGATATCTGTAGCGTGGACAGATCGGGACAGCTGTGGAAGCTGCCCCTCGACGTAATATTATGCTTGGCCAGATTTCTGGATCTCACGGGAACAACGCGCGGCCAAATAGGAGGACTGCCTGGCAGTCGATAATATGGAAGATGACTCGGCCGGCAGACAAGTCCCGACAGCCAACTTGTTCGTGCAGCCCACGACCCCTGCAACGTGTAGTAAAGATGGGAATATTTATTCTAAGAAGGGAATGGAGGAACAGGGAGAACCACCGGGTCAGTCAAGATGAAGTAATAACCCTGTCAACGAAATGCGACCTGGGAACAGCAGGCGAGAGGGTCCGGCCAGCAGCAGGAAAAGAAGGAGAGTATTTGATGCAAGACCCCCTCGCGACACCGTTTGGCAATTGCTGTTCTCCCCGCACTCTCTCTCTCGTCTTGTTTTCTTTTAAAACCTCAGGACGTGGCCAGCAGTCCAATCAATCGAGTCATTAAATAAGTTATTATAATGTAGTGGTGAAGGAGAGTAAGACTGCAGTAATAGAATAGGTGTGAGTATACAGGAAGAGAAAAGAAGCAGAATTGGGCAGTCAATAAAAATATTAAAGAAAAGGAGATGTTTCTCTGACAGGTTGGCAGAGTTTGTATGTATCGAACGAAAAACGATCCTTCGATTTCCAAGTAATTTTTCTTTTTCTTCAGAAGTATTCGGGGTCCATACGGTATGGATCCCTTCAGGAGATTTATTTTATTATTATTATTATTATTTACTTGCGCATTACGACGGCTTCCATGCTTTAGTTAAGGGTTGGATGGCAAAACACTGATGTAATCAGGAGAGCATCTTTCAGGAACGGAGACTACAAAAGCACTTGCATTCACCATTCAGGGCCATGCTCCGTCCCAAGCATGATTCAGATCTCCAGCGGTGCCTTGAGATCTTCATCCAACCGGCCATCACCAGCCATGATGGTCGGCCTCAGGCGGCCGATCTATCCACTTACCATCCCTTTAAACCGTCCGGATTATTGATTTCTCCGAGACAACTTGCCGCGGGCGGAGAGTCGAGTCCTTTAGCCCTGATTGGTGGAACTCCCTGTTGTGTCACCAAGCCTCAGGCTTAACTCAGTTGGTGGCTGGACCTCACTATTGCCTCTTTTTTTCTCTCTTCAAGGGTGCAACAACGCGTTTTTCCTTCTCCTTTCGCTTATCACCAGCCCCCTACGGTGCGCTGGCTTCATCCCTTTCGCACTCAAGCTTTAGCCTAGCTTGTGTTGCCACGGATTCCGCTTATCAACGTAGTCCATACTGAAGATGTTTCGGGCTTTTCTCAAAAGCGCATTCCTGCTACGGCCCCTCGAGGTGCGTCTGAGGCAGAGGTATCTGGACTATCGCACACAAGCTCCATACTAACAGTTTCCTTCATACAGGAATGGCTTACCGCTAGGGTAGGTGTATGATAATGTCAATTACTTGAGCTTGATGCTCATGTTGCCACATATAGCTGCTGGCCAGCCGGTCGTTCCATAAACTGGTTGGGGGGATTCACCGCAAAGTCCATCACCTGAAGACTGGTGTCCCACTGGAAGAGGTGCATGGCCCTGACTCTGGAAAGTCTGGTATGAACTTCGCCCATGCCGTGAATTGGTCGTGGTAGCTGTGTAGTATCCTTTGATACTAACCTGCCCCTCACTCTAGCTTCGAAGTTGAACCAATTCTTTGAGTACTTCAAGGAAGAGCTGAAGGACCAGGTGAAAGGGAACCCCCGCAATAAGCATTGATGAGAAGGTGGAGTTTCTTTCATCCGGGCTTTTGTGACAGCCCTACTTTCTATGACTTGTGATACCCATCAATATTCATATACTCTTTTTCTGTTTTTATGTTATTGTTGCTGTCCATTCTTCTGTCTATATACCGTGCATGTCTGGTATACCGGATACAGATTGGGCTGTAGCTCTTCTGCACCATGAGCTATATCCCTCATTCCATCCGGAGAACAATTTCTATTGCTTCATCCGCTTTGCCTGACCGTGTATCTTTGGACAGTTGGGTTGGGCTTTGAAATGTCGAAGCGTACACATATAGTCTCTATTAGGGTCGAACGTAACCAAATGCTCAATGGACTAATTTAATCAGCACATCCATTGCTTATATCATCCGAACCTCCTAGGCAGAACCGATCTTATCCCTTGGTCATAGCAGCCCATGGCTGGGGCACGACTAAAACCTTATCCCCCATGTGATGTGTACAATGTCGGGAAATCCGGATGGCAGGGCCTGTATGTTTCAAGGGCTGAGTTCCCAGGGATTCCCCAGCACGAGTGTGCCCTCGCTGCCAGGGCTACTTTATTCTTTGCGTAACCAGGATATGCATGCGAAGTGTTACTTGTGCGACCACAGAATACAGAGGATGGAAATACTTACATACTACGGACGTATGCACATACGTAAACTAACCTCGTCGAAATATCCCATCTGAGTCACTTGACATTTCCATAACTGATTACATACCAAGTAAATAACTAATGCAAGCGAAGCAAAGGGAATGATAACGAACGCCCTGACTAACCCCGATCACTAAGCAGGTAACTAGGAGAAAAGCAACCGGAGATCACACATCCTTGCCACGCGATCAACTGGCGGACGGAGTGGCTGCAGAGACCCGAATCGACCCGTAATATCCTCTAATTGTGAGGGTTATGGGGGAACGGTCTAGGCACACGCACCACGGAGAAGATATACGTAACCTCTACGAGTACACACAACACACTGGAACCCTTCGAGACCAAAACCACTCTAAGAAGTCGTCAACCCCACGGGTCTGTTAATTAGCAGGGAAATGGAGTCTAATAAGGACAGCAATGTTCCAGAGCGCCGTGTCATGTCTAGTGACGGCCAACTGGATACTTTGTAAATTGCAGAGAGGAATCTAGAACCGTCATATGCTGCCGATCACCCGACTCAAACTCGAAAGTGGCTAGCGAGCTAGCTAACCCTCTCTCACGGTGTGAGAAGACGATGATTAGTTTAATGAATAATGATTCAGCTGTTATTATGAAAGTGTCGGGTGGCACCCAGGCTAAGGTTTAGGAAGGATGAATCATTACGAATAAGACCAGTTTGACCCTTAAGACGCAGGGTCTTTGGGGTTAGTGATAACGCTACGGGGAAGTAGACTAACTACTAAGCCCCGTTGGCATTGCCATAAGGAAAGACAGCTCAGCAATAACGCTGTTGGAACGGAGTCACCGGCCCAATTGCCGCCCTGACGTCCATTAAGCGGGCAGCTGCCCTGCAGCGCACGGAGTTTCGGGAGGACTGAAGGTAGGACGAGTGCTGCAGTCGGGTGAGCCGGCACACGTCGATGGCTATGTTTGGAAAGATGGAAAGATTTCTTCGGAAGGGAAACACGTGAGAGAGAATTTACGTATTTCCATCCAGGAAAACACCGAGAGAAGTGGGTGCTCGGAAACTACAGAAATTTCTTTCTTCTTTTCCTTTTCTTTCTCTTGTACCGGAGCCACGCGGATACAATGAAGGGAACAATCCCACATGGAGAAGCATAAAAAGTTAAGGGAATATACACATATCCAGTCATTGTAGTAGAATGTGGATAGATTCAGTGTTTGTTGTTCGTTGGTTGGTGCCGAGTCTTAGGTAATTCTTCCCAAGGAACAAAGTTGTTTTTTATGGTACGGTCATTAACCGGTACCTAGGGACCCATGGTACATGCCTTAAAATAGCAACGTGTGTACCATGATTACTCTGATGGAACTCATTAATTTTGTAAGATCGCTTTGTGATCTACCATACTATGGACTTGCTTGCTCCTCACTCTAGCCGAATAATCCGGAGCACTACTGTTCGGGTACCTCACTAGGAGGTTAGAATGGAATTAGGAGGACCCAGAAAGCACCGTATTGGGCATAGTAGTCCGAGACAAGAAGCCGTGAGTCCGTGACAGCCAACGGGCAGAAAAAGAAGAATACCCATCGTACCCATAATACCAAATACTGGGCGGAAAGTCAGGCGCCCCAAAAATGCAAACCAAAACACCAAAAAAACACAAAAAACACAAAACGAGGGGCGCCCCTGTGCAGAACTGTCTCAACTGGCAGCCGCTGACTGGCTGGCATGTCCTTTAGCGCCGACGCTAGAGAGCGCCGACTCCTGGGCACGACGCTGGGATTGGTGTTGCGCAGCCAAAGTCCCCGTTGGTGGCCCCCCCAATTGAGCCGGCCAGTGCCCTTCCACCATCCCGTTCCCTTCGTCTCTCCCTCTCTCCGTCTCTCTTTCATCTCCAGTCCCTTTTCATCTCCATCCCGCCTCCTTACGCTCTTTCCTGTCTTCTTACCACACCTCACCACACACGCCCCCCCCCAACTCTATATCTGCAGTCACTCGTTAACCCCTCCTTGTGAATCATATCTCCCGACAGCCTCTTTCTGTCCTCCCTCCTGCTGTCCTCCCGATTCTCACCCTACAAACGATCGTTTCCCACCATCTGGGCACCCCGTGTCGCGTTGGAATTGTAATCTCGCCTCCTCGGTTTCGGTTCTCTCTCCACTGTTCTCTTGCCTCACCCGTGTTGGCTCTGGCAGCCTCGAAAGAACGCCTTGAATATCCCGAGTCCGACTGATCGATCTCATCCGACCTGCCCATCATGCGAGCCGCTCGTCTTTCGTTCCTCCTCTACTCCCTGTCCCTCGTGGCTGTCGTCGCTGGCCAGAGCGCTGCAGTCACGAGTGTAGGCAACGCCGTCACCTCTGCCGCTGCCGCCGCTACCACAGAGGCCCCTTCTACCACATCCAGTGAATCGTCTTCGACATCTGAGTCCTCTACCTCGACTTCGGAGAGCACTTCCACCACCAGTGAGCCTACAACTACGTCGTCAAGCTCGGAAGAGACTACTTCCACGACCAACAAGCAACCCCAACAAACTACCCAGCCGCAGCAGACAACGTCATCCAATAACAACAACAACAATGCGCAGACAACTGCAGTCACTACAACAGACAAGAACGGCAAGACCACCGTCGAAAGCACTACTCAGCAGACCACCGCAACCCCGGTCGTGCAGACGGTCACGACCATCGAGACCATCAGCGGAACCCCCGTCCAAACCACTCTCACCACTACGTCGACTCCCGCCAGTTCTGAATCCACGGGCAACCCTAGTCTGAGCGGCACTTCGTCTGATAACTCTAACAGCAGCTCTGGTCTCTCGTCCTCTCAGAAGAAGATCATCATCGGTGTCGTCGTCGGTGTGGGTGGTGCAATCATCGTCGGTGCCCTTGCCGTTGTTGGCTGGAGGATCCATGCTCGCAAGGCTGCCCAAGACAACGATGAGGCTGCTGATCTCATGAGCGGTACGGCAGTCGGTGCAGGTGCTCGCGAGAAGGCACCCAGCCCGGGTGCTGGTGGCACGCCCTTCAAGACCACGCTTGACCAGTACCACAACCCTGGACCTGTCAATGCTGCATCAAACTTCTAAGCCGACCGGGCATTCTATCAATGATACGAACACACCACCCGTTTCCTATGTTCATCCTGCGGTAACGAACAGGGAAGGCATATGGTCTGGTCTGATACCGTTCTTGAGACTGTAAATTTGTACGATTATGACGCAGTTATTGTTGGCGCTTGTGGAGAGGAAATCCTCTGATTTGTCGTTTTCTTCACTGCTATCTTGGGTTGTTTGCTTTGCATTCAAGAAGCTACCGCTCCTTTCTCGCTCTGATAGACCATACGTCGGGTCTTTTCCGATGTCACGCTCCTTTTACTTAGCACAGCGATTTTGTCCTAGCATTTATGGTTGGCCGATTTAGTTTGATTCCCCCCTCGAGCATTTGTTTCTTTTCTAGTGGAGCAGTGAGCGGCGAAGTGTCCTATCTCTGTCTCTGCTGTGGATTGCAGGTCCCCGATCTCAGCCTTCAAAAGCTTTCGATTGTATGTATTTAATCAAAAAAATGACTTGAGAAGGACTTTAGCAGTACTGTAAATGATGTAGTGGCAGTCTTGCAAGATAGCGTCTGACAATCCCAAATCTCGTTTATCATATCTAATACAGTTGAAGTTCGGTAGGAATTAGCACATTCCATGACATGTCTTGATCCACACTATATGCCGGTAGCGAGTGAACCCTGCACCAGGAACCTGCGATCCTGCAACGTGAGTTTATCATCCACTTGCATTATCTAAAGCCGATCCAGTCTATCTCACATCCACACTCAGCAGCACCATATAGCAACGTACCTATCTCCATTCCCTAAGCACTCAAAATAAAAGAGTATGATCGGTCAGAGGCCCTAAGACCCAGCCTCCATCTACTACAACCCAGTTGTACAGCAGCCTTGATCGGTCATTAAGACCCTCGGAATATATCAATCATAATAATGTACGATGCAAAACACCGCATAATCATATTGTCCGTCTACATATGATGCGTCGCACAGCGGAGGTGTCAATGACGCTGTGGTGCCTGACAGCCTGAGGAATGCAATATATCCCGAAGCAGTTTAGTGGGCACGTGGCGTCGTGTCGGACGCGCTCGCGAATCCCTGCCGCCTTTCACGTTGTTCCGCCGCGGCCATTGCTGGTCTCTCCGGACAACCATCTCTCTACTATCAACTGGATAGATACGCTTGAGTTGCCATTGCGATTACTGAACGATTATATCTACTTCTGTCTCTGTCGCATGAGTGACGATCATAAGTTCTAATTCATACTTGCACTATATTATCACTACCTCCACGCGTGACATATCCTCCTCCATTCATCCATCCGTTTGAATCGCATTACATCAATTGATCAATCAATCAATCAACCCACCTACAGACATCCATAATGATGTTCGCTACTCTCCCCATGCAGCAACAACCAGGGTCATCACCACCACCACCTCAACATCACCAACAACAGCAATACACACCCACCCGACCATCCCCCCTCTCACCACGCCGCCACACAAACACCCCAACACCCAATATCTTCGCCTCCAACAACACCCAATTCAACCTCCCCTCCAGCCCCTTCACGCTCCCAACACCCACGAAACTCCCCTCCATATCGGCATCAGCACCACCATCCCCAACACCGCCACAGCAAGAACAACAACAACAACCACACCAATTCTCAAGAAGACAGAGAAACATCCAGTCCTCCCCCAACTATGCTCACCGCTACGCCAACACGATCTCCAACCCCATGAACAAGCACTTAAAATCAAGTGCGTCTCCCTCGGCACGCCGGAACCTGTTTCTGAATCGCGTGAAGCGGGATCGGGATGACGGGCGGTTCGGAGATCGCGGCGAGCAGTTGGTGCTTATGGAGCATGTGGCGGAGGAGAAGAGGTGGGGGGAGGTGATGAGGAGGAGGGCGGAGGAGATGATGGGTGTTGTTGAGGAGGAGGAGGAAGAGGATTATATGAATGGATTTGGTATGTTTTCTTCCTCTCTTCATGACTCTGGTAATGTGGTCAGAGTGCTAACGAATTCCTGCTTAGATGATGTAGACGCACATGCTCTGGACGAGTACTTGCAAGAACAAGCGGCTGAGATGGAGCGGTTGGAGCATTTGAATCAGCAGCAGCAGCAGCAGCAGCAGTATCACCAAGGAGGGTTTGATTCAGGTGGTAGAGGTAATGGTGGGATGAATACCTCGTTCAGCGACGAAGAAGAATACGACGATCTGTTCATGGATCTAGCGGGGCATGGTGGACATAATGATATCCCTGGATCAAGTGGGGAGTTCGCTCATAGTCAGGATATGGATATGTCGTGATTTTCGCCTTCATGTGTGTGTATGTGTGTGTCTGTATTGGATATGGATATGGAATGTCTTGTTGCGGGCCGACGAGACTGTCACAACTACCACTACTATCATATTGGTTATCGTGGACAGGACAAAAGCATGGTATGGCATGATATGTATGGTTTGGCGTTGAATGGTGTGCATGAATTGAGTGCTTATGACATGGGGTTTACTTACTTACTATCTAGATAGTGATCAACAGATCATATAATTATAGCCAATTAGTCTGAGTATCTATCTCCTGTAATCATACTCGTGTATTCATCTACTAATCATGATACTATCATGTGTTGTAGTAGTACCTGGCATGCGGAGGTGCACACTGCTGCTTATTCACTTGTAGTACCAATGGTATAGGGTATATTTAGGGGTATATCTCTCCCAACACTACGAACACCAAATCTGAACATGAACATGAACTGGAATCCTGGCTCTCAGCCAGTGTATATATCGTATTACTAGTATTCTAGTACTCATATCATTGCTGCGGACAATCAGGGACACCACCCGCGCCAGCACCACCACCGGGACCCTTAAGATCCTCCATCCAAGGAGCAGAAATCAGCTCATCAGGCGGGTTGCCCGCCGCTTGCATCTATCGTAGCAAAATTAGCATTAGACCACTAGAAGGGGAAATAAAGGAAGGAAGTTTGAAAAGCGGGACTTACCTCCTGCATCTTCTCCCACACATACTCCCTACACTTCGGATCCTCATCCGAATACCCCTTCTCCTCAAACTTACTCACAATCTGCCTGACAACGCCCGCCTGTCTCTCATACCTCGCCATATCCTCCTCCGACACCTTCCCCTTGCCCTTGTTCTCCTTGATCCAAGGCCCGAACTTCGTATCAAGTTCCTTAATCGGCTCATACAATATCTCTTTGTTCGACAATTGTTCCATCATGCCCATGAACATCTTCGTCAGATCCCCCTCGTCACCACCTTCGCCTGACGATGCCCCCGCCTCGATCGCCTTGATGAGCTGCGCTACCAGATCATCCGACATGTCGTCCTCCGAGGCTGCTGCCGTGGCTTTGTCGCCGGATTCTTTCATCCGTTCGATTGTGCGCTGGATGGTGTCGTTGAAGGTTTCGGGTGCTGCGGTGGTGGCGGTTCCACCGCCGCTGGTTGATGGTGTTGTTGATGATGCTGCTGGTGCTGCTGAAGAGCCCGCCGTGGCGGCCGTAGTGCTGTTATCGTCATCGCCTTTCATCATGACGTCTCCGACGAGCTGTTTCAGGAAGTCCGAGGGTGAGACGCCGCTTTGCTCGAGGATCTTGGCGAATGCCTCGGCGTCTTTGTCGAGCGTGCCGTCGTTGCTATCGGTGGCGCCAGCCGCAGCCGCAGCCGCGTCGTTGCTGGCGCCGCCACCGATACCACCCATCATATTCGCCATATCTTGTTCGAGTTGGCGGAGGAAGGCCTCCTCGTCGAAGTCATCGGGGGCTGACGGTTGCGCGGCATCGGGTTTAGCGGGGGCGGGGGATGGTTTGGGTTTGAAGTCGTCGAGGACCTCTGATACATTGTTGTTTAGTCAAACACTGGTATATTGGGATTATATGTTGAATTGGATTGAAAATAGGTGTATACATACCATCTAATTCATCAAATTCTGATTCGTCGTCATCATCATCATCATCGTCATCGTCGTTGTTGTTAGTGCGCTGTTGTTGCGCGGGGTTCTCTGCGGAGGGGGCATTCGGGGCAGTCGTCGTGGCGGGCTTCTTGTCATCCGCAGAAACCGTTTCTTCGGGTGTCTGTGTGGAAACAGCAGGTTTCTCAGGCTGGGGGGTTGCGCCAATGTTGGCGGAGGGAGCCGATGAGGAGGAGGCCATGACTGATGATCCCAATAGCCGAGGGGGGAGATTGGGGGGGAAGAGGGGAAATGATGCGGCGGGCTCAAGTTGCTGGATTGCGGCGGGCGGAGACGGATTGCATCGGCGCGCAGATGAGATCCTGTGCTGTTCTTTTTTTCAGAGATGCAGGGGGGAAAGGGTCTGACAGGTGGAATTAGATCAGATGGGGGTTGACGATGGAGAGCTGAGGATGTAGTCTAGTCAGGGATGGTTTTTTTTTGGTCTTCATGTGAAAAAGAAATGAGCAGGAATGAATAATCAGTCAGTCCATCTTTTTGGTGGTGGGGGAGAGCCGATGGAAAGCCGATCGCCGCGGTTATTCTTTTGTTTTGTTTTCTCGGAGTTGCGCTCAGGAGATGGTAAATGGGGGATGGGACTGATTCCAATGATTCTTTGGGGGGATTGGTTTGACATTTGGAATAGCATTGAATGTCTGTGAAGGTGTACAGGGGTAGAGTGAAAGAGAAGAGTATAGAGTCGAGTGGTGAGGAGTATTGGTTGGTTAGAGAAGAGCTGGGAATGACATCAGGGTCCAGGCGCTGTCACCGGCAGATCTGATGGAGAATAAACATGTTCGAACACTCAGTCTGGATTCGGATACTCCGATTGAGATACATCCTATTCTACGAAGTACAGAAGTACGCTCTCTACATATTGATGTACTATTCATCCTCCAGCACAGCAGCAGCAGCAGCAGCAGCAGCGACGACAACAAATCCAACTCTGCCAAGAAGGATCTGGTCAATAGTTGCTGCTGCTCATCGGTAGTCGCCGCAAGTCCACCCAGCAACAGCAACAGCAACAGGCATTGGATTCCATCCGATCAGCCCATCATCCTCAGATGATCCCGTGGCGGATCCTCGTGATGTCAAGTCACAGTCACTTTGCCTTTTTATTTTTTTTCCTTCCTGAGGCGGAGTCTCGGAGCGACGTAGGATGACGGGACATAGGCGAGGCCCTGGAGGTGGTTGGCTGGCGGAGACCTCCTTCATCGGCAGTCTCCTATAGTACTGTACTGTGTATATCCCAAGTACCAACTACTAGTATATACCGAGTAAGTCATAGTGTCTTCTGTCTAGTCTGGTTGTCCTGCAGGTACATCCCGGGTTGGTTGGTGGTTTGAGTTGAGGGGGAAAGAAAACCGGAAGTTCGGCTGTTCGATCAGGTGCTCATTTGTATACGCTGAAAATAGCTGGTATCTTCTAGTCTTGACTGTCTTGAAAGCAGACATGCCAAGGACTGTCATCCAACTGGATATCCTCGGGATCCGATCAGACCAGACTACTATCTCTTTATGTATTCAGCAAGACTTTAGACCCTGAGAGGGAATTCTGGGTGGATGAGAAAGGCAATTTAGTCGAGATGGATTTGTGGTACCGTATGGTCATCATGCCGTATTATGACCCCAAATGGCCACTGGTCACGGGGTCAGGGACGAAACTTTGCCGTATTCACCTTGTCCCGTTTTGGTATGGTCCAGTTGGATCTGCGTGATTTTCCTCGTCGTTTCTTTCTCCTTCAAGGGTCCCGGACATTTCGTACGACCTCTCTCGTGGAGTTAGACCAGAATTCTTGACTGTCGGATTACTTCCTGCCACGGTACTTGGACCGAGGTTCAATCAATCAATCATAAACCCACCGCCTTCAGTAGACAGAGGAGTGAAAGAATAGAAGGGGAACCTGGTGTGTGTCCACGCAAGACCCCCAAGTTCGTACGACAGCAGGACAAGGAATCCGCCCCAGCTGAACCACGGAAAACTTTGTCTTGACCTGCCGGAACATCTCCGCGGCATGATGAAGATATTAACGACGTGCCCACCAGAAAGGGGAAGGAAAATCTCCTTATGACTTGTCGATAGGAGAAAAGGGAGGCTTCTACTTTATCGCCTGGATAAATACTACACGGTTCTGGTCCAGACTGAGCTAGCTGGAACCGACTTAACAATGGCATTGCTTTCAAGGTTGCTCGCATCCACCCAAGTAGCCACTTCCGAGAGAAGCGGAAACGAATGAAAAAAGGACAACGACACGTTCTCCTGCTCTCCACTCCGTTTCGGAGCCTGCATGGCCTGGCGGACGGGCCACCAGCAGCAGCACCAGAGGAGTAAGCCCATTCGAATAGGGCATAAGTAGTAACTTGGACCACGGAGGCAGTGACGAGTTTGACGACTCACCCTGGGCGGATCTTCGGCTGGGTCTGACCTTGCAGTGGATCTCGCTCAAGTTGGTGCCGCGGCCGAGGAAAACCGCTCCTAGCAAGTAGGGAAGAATTGCATCGAGGACCTGAGTGGACAGAAAGACAAAGAGAGAGGGTGGGAGAGAGGAGAGGGGAGGGAGAGAGGGGGGGATTTGTTACTGGGCAATGAGGGGAGAGTGGCTCTTATGATGTTAGAACGACAAAACTAAAGCAGGGGCAAGGAAGAATGCGTAGAACTACTAGAACTATTCGAAGAAACAGAAACCGGACGGGTAAGAGAGCATCAGTTGTTTTAAAAGCAAAAAAAGTAAAGACCAGACGAGGCGTCAAAAAGTAGTGCAAAAGTCAAAAAGAGTTTGTCCAGCGGCGGCGAAACCGAAGCTCGTTCCGTTCGGTCCATTTTCCCCTCTCACTCTCTTTGCACCGTCTCGCGTGAGTGGATGGAGTGGATGGATGGGGATGATGGGCTGGATTTTTCCCCTGGGAAAGTCTCTGCCTTGGACCCAAAAGGAAAGTTCGAAGAGAAGCCAAAAGAAAAATAAAATAATAAATTTTTTTTTTTTCCTTCTTGCTGTCCCCATTAAATATTATTTTGCCCACTCTTTGCTCGAATTTTCCAACCCACCAGGCTTGGACCAAGAGAAGAAGGCCCTTATTCGACCTTTTCTTTCCCTTTAATAACATCCCCGTTCTTTTTAGTAAATAATTTTACCTCACATCTTTCCCACTCTCACCTTCCCACCCATCCCCTCTTACTGTCCTTCGCGCTTCTCTCCTACTTCCCCCCCGAACCTGCTGGCTATCTGGGTATTCCATCATCAATTTCCTTTATGTCACCTCTTCCGCTGGCCTCCTTGCGACCCTCTGCCAGCCCTCGCACGTCCCTTTCTGCCGCCCAGCCGCGCGTTTCCTGCGTCTGAATTATCAGATTCCATACCCCGCCGGCTAACTTTTTTACCTGTTGTTGTATTCCTATTACCATTTGTCTTTTGCGATCGTTCACCGCGTCTATTTTGTGTGAGGGGGAAATTAAGTCCGCTTTTTGTTAGCCCGGTCTTTTGGGAGAGCGAGAGAGAGAAAGACGACAGAGAGGAAAGAAGAGGCTTTTGATATTCGATCCCGGCCGTCGTCATCTGCCTTTTCCTTTTTTCTGGTTTTGGTTCCCTTTTTCTTTTCCTTGCTAATTTTATAATATCCCACGCCCCCGGATTTCTTGTTGGGTGCGTCATTCTCCATCTACCGAGCACGCAAGGGGGGATTCCCATAACCGACCTGTCTTTGGGCAACCCGGACAGGCAACAAGACGGCCAGCAAACAAAGAAAAGAACAAGGCTAAATTCCCATCCCCCCTTTCCTCCATACATAGCCAAATCCAATGGTCTCCATGGTTGAGACGAGCAATTCCACACAAAATGACAACCCGGCCACCGAGCCGGTTGTCCCCAAGACCGAGCCGTTGCCTGAAGGCTCGATCAGCTCGGCGGTGTCAACACCTGAGGCCGAGGGGGAGATTCTGATGCAAGATGTGACCCAGACTCAGAAGCGCAAAGGGGGAAGAAAACCAGTACGTAAGAATTCTTCGATTCGAGGGTGGCTGTCCTCAATTTGTTTTTTTACCCCGGATCCAGATCGACCCTTTTGGCTTTTTATACCTCGTGGTGGTCGTTGCTTGTTTTTCCCTTATCTCATTTCTATTACCTTTATCTATCTATCATCAACATCCATCACGTCTTTTGGTGTTCATCCAGCATCATCACTGGCTGTGCTGTTGGTGCCTATCGCTGGTTCTCCCCCAGTGATTTGTCCCTGCGTGCCAGTCCGGGGCCCCGCACTGCGTTTATTATTATCATTTATCATCGCGATTGTTCATCCTTATCGTCCTGTCACATCCCTCCATTCCTTGCTGTCCCCTTTTACTTATCTCCTCCATCTGCACCTTATCCCCCATCCCCTCTTCCAAGCCTTTATCGATCTTGTTATCTATCTGGACCCTTGATCCCATCCCCTTCCCCGACATGAAGCTAACGCCCGCCGTCAGATCTATGCTACCTCGGAGGAGCGGAAGCAACGCAACCGCCAGGCCCAGGCTGCCTTCCGTGAGCGTCGCACAGAGTACATCCGCCAGCTCGAGTCCACCATTAAGCGCAATGAAGACTCCCTGCAGACCCTTCAGCAGAATCATCGTAGCGCCGCTGATGAATGCTTGATGCTGCGCTACAAGAACTCCTTGCTCGAACGTATCTTGCTCGAAAAAGGTTGGTCTTCCCCGCTCGCATAACCCAACTCGCAAGCTTGCAAGCCCCCTTCCTGATAAGCGCCCTCGGGGCGATCCTTGTCCCGTACTTGAGATACTGACCGACCGTAGGAATCGATGTGCAAGCAGAGCTGCGACTGAAGGCCGGGGCCCCCGGCGCGGGCGCTGCTAAGCCCACCCCTATGGCAGCGAAGCCTCCCTCCACCCTGGAGCGCGCTGCCGTAAACCGAACCTCGGCTCAACGGCATCCTGGCATCGCTCCCAAGGAGCCCTTTGGCATGGCTCAACATCGTGATGGTGCGTATGGTATTCCGTCGCCACAATTTCAGGCCACGCCTCCGTCCCATGTCTCCTCCCCGTCCCACGCCAAATCCCCGGGTTTTCCCTTCCAGGGAGCGATGTCGCCAGTTGGGGTGGATCCCCAGGCCCAGCAGCGCTCGCAGATGCTGTCGCACTCGCGAAATATCAGCCAAACCTCGCCGCCGATGAGCATCGGCCAGCCGGAGTCGACCGACCCAAAGGCCGCCATGCCGGGTGGTACGAATCCCCGAGCTCCCCGCGTCCCCTCCGCGTACTACCCATCGCCATTCCAGAAGCACTATGACCAACTGGGTAAGCTGACTCCATTCCCGCATTGCTGTTTTCTTCCAGATCCGTGGTGGTGTTGAACACTTGGTTAATGTCCGCATAGAACAGGAGTATGATGCCCAGGCCGACATGATTGACGAGGAGCATGATTCCACCGTGGGTGCCTCGCCCTATGTCTCCGGCTACAACAATCCCGCGTCTGTGCCGGCGGGCTCTCACCCCATGGGGGCTCATAATCTCAACCAGTACACCCAACATGCGGCAGAGGGAGCCAATGGCGCCTATAACAATGCGAACCACCTCATGGGGAACTATGAACCTATGTTGGATGCCGATCCATTTGGATTGAGTGCGAGCATGCATTTCCAGACTCCTTTCAGTTACGAGCAGAATAATACCCGCCATTAACCCGTTTGTTTCTTGTTTTGTACTCTCACCCCCGTCACGGATTACCCTCTTTCGGTTCGAGGGACATCACGGTCGGAAGGAAGAGATACGCTTGACGGATTTCCTTCATAGCTTTCTTCTATGACTGGAAGACAAAAGTTGAAACTTTGAAGCATTGCCTGGCGTTTGCGGTTGATACCATTTGTTTATATTGGTTCGCTTGCTGTTCTGCTGTTGCTGTGGCGCTTTTGATTGATTGACGCCTTTGAAACTGGAAAAAGAAAAGCGGTCGGCTGTTTGTTCCTTTGAGCGCGGGATGAGCGGAGGAAAGAGGATTAAAAAGGGAAAGAAAAAGAAAGGCCGCGATAAAAGTTGAGACATGGTTCTTTGTGTACATGCATGACTGGTATAATGGGCCCGAGGGAGACTGCGGTGCAGTTTGAACCGGGTCACACTCTTCACTCTCAGCTCTTGCGGACATAGCTATATGATGTTCTTATTTCTTGCTATGGTGATGGTGATGATTTGGGCTGCAGTGAAACGGTGGCTTGCATATGTATTTCTTGCTGATCTGGGTTATGTTGCATCCCTGCGGCATTGCATTCTATTCCATTTTTATGAATCATTCAATTTCTTCTCAGCTTCTATCTGTACTTCCCGGTTCCTTTTGTTGCTACTTTTGTCATAGAGTGTGTGTATAGTTTCCCTCCAGGGAGAGCTCTGAAAGCTATGGGGGAGGTATCTACTCGATTTGGGAAGTACCTGGAGTGGCAGGTGACCAGCTACGGAGCTCGGCAATTGGGGGGAGAGCTTACAAACGGCCTGGGGGCGAGAGAGCGAGAGAGGAAGAGGAGAGAAATGAGTAGTGACGTATGACAAAAGAGGGGAATGGGAATTGGGGATGGCAGTGATCTACAGATCACCCCCAGAATGCTGTAGGGGGAGAGCGAAAGAAAAAGCAACAACCGTCCATTCTACATACTGTAGAGCGTAAGCCCAACTGAAGGCAGCGATGCAGAGCATCATCTCAGCGTCATCCGCTGGTGTTTTACCCTAAGCCCTAGCTGCTGTAAACCAATCACAGGCCGCATTCCCGGATTCGCTTAGCAGCAATTCGCACCTTACCGGATCGGGCGAGTGCAACCACAAACGTCGCCTCCATCCACCGTCCAGTCAACCCCCTTCACTCCAACCACCATCCTATCCCCATCCCCCTAAACAAAGGAGAGGTCAGCTACCGTTCGTCGTCGAGGTTTCTGCCTGTGTCGACTCTCCCCGCCCGCTCCGTCGGACCGAATTGTTGCGATAAGAGAGAGAGCCTTCCCCGGAAGGCCCCGCATAAAACCAGGCGTCATGGCGGAGATCCGGTCCAAGGTGCGTTGCTTTGAAAGAGAATGGCCCTCGTTTTCTCTCCGTCTGTTGCTGTGCGAGGGTGATGGAAATCCGCGATTTGAGGGAAGGAATATTCTACGGCTGGATTGATGGAAGGGTGCTGGGATTGGGTTGGGAGCGCAGTTGCATTGCAACGAGCGGGGTTTGGGCGACGGCAAGGAATATTGCACAAATCCATCCTGCTCCTCACCACTCGCCCCATCACCACCACAGACGAGACGAGAGAGAGAGAGAAAGCGGCAGCATTAAACATCTGGAAATGCGAAGGCTAACATATCATCTACTATAACAGAACCTCTACGAGCTTCTTGGTAATTCTCGCCCTTCCCTTGCCTACCTACCTACCTACCATACCTGAGTTCTATCCTGCACTTTGCACTACCTGTCGTGTTTGACTTTGCCTTGGTCTCTCTCTTCGCATGTCGTCGATCCATCTACACTTCGAATTCGTGAAGGGATTACATCATTTTCTAACCTCAAGCGTGCTGTTGCTCGCGCTGCGCAACTACAGGCAATGACCCTGAACTCGGCCCCAACAGAGCCCCCGAGCCCCCTACGAAAGCCGTAGACAGGCCGGCTCCCCGTGTTGGCAAGCGGGACGCTCCCAAGGAGGCCCCTTCCCAGCCCCGTGAGAACAACAACAACTCTCGCCGTGGTGGCCGCGCCACTGGCAACGAGGCCGGTATGTATTCCCACCTACGTTGAGTTCCGACTCTTTGGCAAGTACGTTCCGACTAATTCCGATCGCGTTCAGCTTTCCGTGACCGCAACGCCGGCAGAAACAACAACCGTGAGAAGCCCACCGATGAGAAGGACGCCCAACGGCGCGGATTCCGCGCCCGTGAGGACCGTGGTGAGCGTGTCCGCCACGACCGCCAGTCCCGCACCGGCCAGACGTAAGCCTCTTCTTCATCGTCTTGTTCTCTATGGAGACGGGAAAAAAAAAAAGGAGACATGGGATTCAATCGAAACTGACATATTCACTGGATAGCGACACCCGCAAGCAGGTGAACCAGGGCTGGGGTAACCAGAGCGGCGAGAAGACCTGGGACGATGAGAAGGCCGGCGAGAACATTGCTCAGACCGATGAGACCGAGCCCCAGACCCCCGGCGAGGAGAGGCCCGAGGAGGCCGCCGACAAGTCCAAGTCCTACGCCGACTACCTTGCCGAGAAGGCTGCCCAGGGTGACCTGAGCGCCAAGCCCGTCCGTGCTCCCAACGAGGGCACCAAGCTCGACAAGAAGTGGGCCGCCGCCAAGGAGCTCAAGCGTTCCGAGGAGGAGGATGCCTACATCAAGGGCAAGGAGGACAAGTCCAAGCGCGAGAAGCAGCGCAAGGAGAAGAACTTCCTTGAGGTCGACATGCGCTTCGTTGAGGCTCCCCGCACTGGTGGCCGTGGTGCTCGCGGTGCTCGTGGCGGCCGTGGCAACGGTCCCCGTTCCGAGCGCCCCGCTGCCGCTGCTGCTGCTACTCCCGCTGTCGCCGTTGACGAGAAGAACTTCCCCAGCCTTGGCGGCAAATAAATGCAGTTTTTTCCCCCTCATAAACTGGCATTTATAGGCTAGCATCCATGCATGCATGCCCATGCTTCCCCCTCACATCTTTTTTCTTTTTCTTTCTACGCATGATCCTCACTACCAATAAACCCTCCCTCCCCAACGCCCCTTTTTTTCTCGCTAGCAAATTAGGTAGTCGAAATCCAGGGATCCAAATGAGATGAGAACGAAAATGAAAGTTTTGTGTGTGTGCATGAGAGAGAGAAAGAAAAGAGTGTGTCTATGTGTGCGTGTGTGTGCCTGCTTGCATGTGTGTATGAACTGAATCTCAAATGTGACAAAACAAAAAAGGGGAAACAGACAAAAAAGGGAAAGGGTGAAATTTCGAACATAAGCAATGGAACAGAAGAAAAAAGATCAAAAAAATCCAAAGGTTCATCTGTGCAATATGCCTCTTTTTATCTATCTATCTATGGCTATGGGCCCTTTTCCACATATATTTACTTTCCTCAATGC